ATTCGTCACTGAAATTGTGGAGAGGGAGTTGTAAGAAGCTCCCAAAACTTTTGGGACCATTTATGTAACGCTCATTAAAATGCCTTTAGGTCCCTTACTTCAGAGTTAACTGACTGAGACTGACACTGGATGTTGTATTAAATAGTGTAGATCAGAGGTGTCACACAAAGCCTTCGAGGGCCAAACTTCATCTGAGTTGCCATTTTGAGCACCAGAAATGGTACATACCTAGCTTCCCAGGATCACGATATTATTTTCTCTGATATTACATAACTGTACGTAAAGTCTGTTTTACAAAAAAAAATTTAGGTAACAATGTGTACTGTATACATCAGTCATGGGTGTCTCGTTTAGTGCATGATATTCTAGTTTCCTGAACATAAGAGGTCTACTTTGGCATGTCATCATGCACTATTACCGCGGGCCATCTTTGATCACCCCGAGGGCTACATTTGGCCCTCGGGGTGTAGATTACACTCTTGGTGTAGATTACGAAGCTTGTCATGAAAATACTGCCGTCTCCCATTACGAATCCTTAAAGGTATGTTTTTTTGTTTTTTGTTTTTTTAAATACCTAAATGACACTAAATGTTATGAGATTTTGCATATCTACTTTTTTTTTTTTCTAAACAGAGGTTTGATTTCATTAATAATGTTGGGCTTCGTCAAGGATGTTTTTATTTCTTATTCATTCACCTGTTTATTTGAGAGAATTGCTTGCTTATATACAAAGGCGTTTTTGTTCTTTGCAATGATTACAGTTCCTTTTATTTCTGTATTATTATGCAATAAAGACTGTCTTGTTTATTTCATTTAGATGCCAGTAGAAGAGCCTACTCGGAGGAAATATATTCTGTATTGGGTAATTAACTTACAATTACGCAAAAATATTTTATTTCAAAATATCGATATGTTCAAAATTCTTCCGCTTATATACTGGAGGAGACAGAGAGAGTGAGAGTGAGAGAGAGAGAAAGATAAATCTCAGAAAATGCATTTCTAAGGGAAAGAGAGGGGAGAGACTTCAAATGTAGTCTAGAAAGGAGCTCCATAGGAGTTGGAAGGGGCAGTTGGGGCACCGTAGCCGTTGCTTGGAGCAGGGGGAGCACCGTATCCGTTGCCGTTGCTGCCTCCGTTTCCGTTCTTTCCGTTTCCGTTGGAACCGTATCCATTGCTTCCGTTCCTACCGTTTCCATTCCTTCCGTTGCCGTTGGAGCCATAACCGTTACCGTTACCGTTGGTGGCGGGTCCATAGGCGTATCCGGCGTCGGGAACGACTCCGATGAGCTCGTTGACGGAGTAGAAGCTCTCAGCTTGAGAACAGTCCACGTTGAACCACCAGTCACATACCAGGTACTGCTGGTTGAAGATGGTACCGTTGGGGCACAGGAAGGAGTCCTGTTGGCGCCTGAGGGCGCGGTCCTGGCAGATATGGAACACCTGGCAGCCGGCTTCAGCTGCAGTGTCGGCGTAATAACCTTGCACCGCCTGGGCATCGCAGGAGAAGCCGGTGTCGGGCACGGAAGCCAAGATGGGGTAGTCCTCGCCGGGGACGCCGCCCCCGGGAATGTTCTCGGCCAAAGCGGCGATCTCAGGGTCTACTCCGTAGGCGCCGTTGGGCGTGCCATAGGTGTTGCTTGGTGGCGCATAGCCGTTGCGAGGGGCAGGGGCTCCGAAGCCGTTTCCGTTTCCGTTGAATCCGTTGGTGGGTGCTGAATACCCGTTACCATTACCATTTCCGTTGAATCCGTTGTGGGTGCCCATATCCGTTGCTGGGGGGAGGCGCTCCGTAACCGTTACCATTTCCGTTGAATCCGTTGCGTCTGTCGGCCACAACGACGCCAATGATTGCTGTGGAGGTTTTTTTGTTAATAGTTTTAGACACAAACCACATTGACACATTATAAAGAGAATATAATCAAGATCTCTCACATTTCTCATTTCCATAGTGAACAGTGAAATAATCTTTATATATATGTATATATACACTATGTACACACACGCACGAGCACGCACACACACACATACATGAGTGCATATATATATATATATATATATATATATATATATATATATATATATATATATATATATATATTATGATGTGTGTGTATATATCTATATCTATACATATACAGGCTATATATATGTACATATACACACATATATATAAGTATGTGTGTATGTGAGTACATATGTATATATACACGCGTTTATATATGTATATATATGTCTGCTTTTGTGTGTGCATATTTGTAGTTTGTACATGCATGCATGTGTTCCTGTGAGCGTATGCATAGATTGAAATTACTTTACTCAGAACCCACCAAAGAAGATAAGGGACTTCATGGTGAGGCCTTCGAAGCGGAGAGAGGGAGAGTGACGATGAACCGACTGGCGACCGACCTTTATACTCGAAGGCGCGGTTCAGACTCCGCCCACTGACCTTCGTTCTGACTTGGTTTAGCTGTCGGTGTGAAAAACGAGGTCGTTGTTTAAGGAAATCGCGTGATAATGAGCAGTGACGTGAGCGACAGTTAGAGAAGCAATGTGATTTTTGTTTCTTAAGATGCACCATATTCCTGTCTTCACTGTTTAGCATATATGTGTTGTCTTACTTTTCACATTGTTATACTTATGATTTCGTTATCTGTGTAATTCACACGAAATTGATAAATGATACTGATTTTGATAAGCATGGCAATAATTAGAATGATAATGATTAAAATAAAGGTAATAATTATACTGATAAGAACAAGAATAATGATAACGATGATGATGATATGATAAAGATAGTAATAATTATAGTGATAGTGATGATATCAGTAATAAAAGTAATAATGATAACGGTAAAAAGTGACTATTACAGTTGGTACTACTATGGTATGATAATGACAACAAATGATAATAATATGAATGATGATAATAATAATAATAAATAATAATTCAATATCATAATATAGCAAGAGTAATAAAGATGATAATGCTGGTAATGATAAAGTCAATGATAATAATAAAGATTATAATGATGGTTATAATAACAACAATGATAATGATGGTAATAACAACAATGATAATGGTGTTAATAATGATAACGATGGTAATAATATTAATTGTTATAGTATTTATGATGATAATAATGATAATAGTAATTGTTATAATTGTTATTATTATCATTATTATTAAAGCAATAGTTATGATAAGGATAATGATAATGATAAAACAGCAGCAACACAAAACAATAATAATGACATTAATAGATATAAGAATGATAATGCTCATAATAATGATAATGATAATAATCATAGTTGTAAAAAAAAATAATGATAACACTAATCACTATTATCATTATCGTTATTCGCAAAACTGTATTAGTTGAGTTTCCTGTCTCTGTATTCCTAGAGTGGATAGTAAACCCTGTGATATGACGGAACCGTGAATGAATGAAAAAGCAATTTCCTTCGTCACAACGAGTACTAATTATGCGAAAGAGCAGAACGCTACAAAGGCGAGCAATCTGAGGTTCAAGGAATTAGGTTAACGTCATTGACAAAGAAAGAGGGAAATGATTTTCTCTTTCTGCCTAATAGTCCATCTTTCTTCCTCTGCATATCTAGTTCCATCCCCTATGTCTCTTGCCTGTTTTTCTCTTTATTTATCTATCTTTCTCTCTCTCTCTCTCTCTCTCTTTATCTATCTATCTGTCTTTCTTTCTGTGTGTGTGTCTGTACGTCACCTTTCTGTCTTTTAGAGGTCCTGTAGTTAAACATAGATTTACGCTTTACACATCCTAAATTCACAAAAAGTACAACTCGTCTCATGACACCAAAATACTAACTGGCGAGGCTGAGACTGAACCGAGGTCACGCGCTCACCTGAACTTGTTGGGGATGAAAACGAATGCCGTTAGTGATGCCCTCCCCTGGTGCCATCCATGCCATGTAGAGGATGGCTGTTTTTGGGGTCAATATGTAGATTTTCTTTTTAAAGATAATATGTCCATATTGTTAGTATTTATGTGACACGACCAGAAATATAATTTCACCAATTAACATCAAGCAAAGTGGTTTACCAGAAGGGTTATATCTAATTGTATGTGCGAACACAAACCATTTTTACATCTTAAATGTTAAGAAACATTATTATGATGTGGGTTCATCATCGACCAATACATGTGCTGAAATTCCAATGAGAAGAAATTTTATTTAGAATCTGAAAAAAATAGGAGTGACCGACAAGAAGTATGGTTGTTCTAAACAAAATATTTTCTTACTGGAAGACCTTTTTATTGATTTTGGCATAATTGGAAAATGGGCCTTTCTTTTCTATATGAAGCATTTTTTATTATATTTGTTGATATCATTCTAAATATAGCATATAAAAATCTGATGCATGCGTTGCCTTCTATTTTACAGTTTTTATTTTATTTATTGTCTATTTATTATTATTATTATTATTATTATTATTATTATTATTATCTTGCATCATTTTAGAAATATTGAGGGAAACACATTTCTAATGAAAAATTTTATTTTTGTTCTGCTACACCCATCTACCGTTTAATATATATATATATATATATATATATATATATATATTATATATATATATAGATATATTGGGGGGGGGGGGTTTCATTTCTATGAATGTGCTACAACTTATCATAAAAGGCTTAGATTGACGATAGACTAATAAAAGTGTTTTACTTCTTCCACCAGATGTGACTACTTATGATGTGAGGGTTTCAGTCTGATAATTCTTAAAACGAGAATGTAGTTTTGTTATGTATAAGGCCAACTTAACGTTAATATCAGTCAATCTAGTCATTACAGTTACCCCTTCTCTTGTGGTTATTGGAATTTCCCATTAGATATGCAGTGAACAAATACTTGGATTAATGCTGTTGTCTAGAATATCAGTTCAAGATCACATTCAAACTCTATTGCGGGTTTGTACAAACAAGCGAAAATAATTCTAGTTTTATTTCAAAATATAGATATTTACACATTCTTGTCGACAGAGTAATGTAGGAAACACCTCGACAGATGCAAAGCGAGAGAGATGAACAATAGATTCTAAGAGTATATATTAAGTCTCCAAGAAGTGACAAGGAGTGACTGTAAGTCGAGTTTAGAAAGGAGCTGCATAGGAGTTGGAAGGGGCAGCTGGGGCACCGTAGCCGTTGCTTGGAGCAGGGGGAGCACCGTAGCCATTGCCGTTGCTGCCTCCGTTTCCGTTCTTTCCGTTTCCGTTGGAACCGTATCCATTGCTTCCGTTCCTACCGTTTCCATTCCTTCCGTTGCCGTTGGAGCCATAACCGTTACCGTTACCGTTGGTGGCGGGTCCATAGGCGTATCCGGCGTCGGGAACGACTCCGATGAGCTCGTTGACGGAGTAGAAGCTCTCAGCTTGAGAACAGTCCACGTTGAACCACCAGTCACATACCAGGTACTGCTGGTTGAAGATGGTACCGTTGGGGCACAGGAAGGAGTCCTGTTGGCGCCTGAGGGCGCGGTCCTGGCAGATATGGAACACCTGGCAGCCGGCTTCAGCTGCAGTGTCGGCGTAATAACCTTGCACCGCCTGGTCATCGCAGGAGAATCCGGTGTCGGGCACGGAAGCCAAGATGGGGTAGTCCTCGCCGGGGACGCCGCCCCCTGGAATGTTCTCGGCCAAAGCGGCGATCTCAGGGTCTACTCCGTAGGCGCCGTTGGGCGTGCCATAGGTGTTCCTAGGAGCTGCATAACCGTTGGTGGGCGGAGGAGGGGCTCCGTAACCGTTACCGTTTCCGTTACCGTTTCCATTTCCATTGAATCCGTTGGTGGTGCCCATATCCGTTGCTGGAGGGGGAGGAGCTCCGTAACCGTTACCCATTTCCATTTCCGTTGAATCCGTTTTGGGGTGCCCCATATCCGTTGCTGGGAGGGGGAGGCGCTCCGTAACCGTTACCATTTCCGTTGAATCCGTTGCGGCTGTCGGCCACAACGACGCCAAGGATTGCTGTGGAGATATATAAAAGCATTAATATGAAGAGCAGTGATAATTGCTGGGAATCCACATATTCAAAATAATAATTTTAAAAAAAAAATAAACAAAATAGTGTGAAGGGAACGCTATGGTCTCTGCGGTTATTGTACAGATATAGGAGTACAAAAGGCATGGACATTAACGAACCGCAGAGAATGAGGGACTTCATGGTGAGGCCTTCGAAGCGGGAGAGGAGGGAGAGTGACGATGAACCGACTGGCGGCCGACCTTTATACTCGAAGGCGCGGTTCAGACTCCGCCCACTGACCTTCGTTCTGACTTAGTTTGCCAAGATGGAAAACAGGTCACTGCTACAGGAAGCGCCATGCACTTCCAACAGCAGGGTGATGTGAATGAAATGTCGAATCAGATATAGTTCACATAAAAACCTGATTTTTTTCCAACCATCTACGCTGAAAATTAAGCTGACGATTATTATGCGTATTATGTAAGGCAGCAAATTGTTTAAGAACAGCTATTTAACGTATAATTTCAGATTTTTTTCCAGAAGTTTTTCTTTAAAGTGGCTCTTATTATTGCAGCATTTTTTTTTTTTGTCTTTTTTAGTTTTGACATAATTTCCGTAATGTTATTGCAATTGTTCTCATTATTTCATCCTCATAGTGACTACCATCTTATTATTGAATATATCGTTTTCATTCCTACAAGTCATATTTTTTTGTGTTGTGTTGCTACTTTTCTCTCATGAATGTTATCTTTTATACTTTTATTGTTATCGTTATCCTTTCTCTTTTGCTTTTACTATTATTGTTAATGTTTCCATTTCATTTTTTTTTTCTTTTCTTTTCTTTTCTTTGTGAAAATCGATGCATATAAATCACTTTATAAAGAGACATTTCGAAGACATTATTGCGAGATAGCAAAGCAGTCTTTTTTGTGATTTTGGTTGGCGTCTGGGCTCATGTTCAGCAATAAGTTACATAGATGGATTCTGTTGGTGATGCCGCCTCCTGGTGTCGTCCTTCGGTCTTCGACACGACAGCGGCGGCGATCCTGGAGGAGGAGAATTCGAGGGACGCTATTTAAGGGACATGGAGCCTGACTTTTGGTTAAAGATACAGAGAGGGAAAGCGCTTCCAATGAAGTGCAATGATATTACCACGGTGACGGGGGAATGGAAGAGGGAGGTGGGAGACACTCCATCTCCTCTCGGTATGTGGAGGTCGGTGTTATTTTCAGAAAATGTGAGCTTGAATCTTGAGTGAATAAAGCCATTCATTTCAGGCTTTAGGGGCAAGATCTCTTCTTATGAATTAACAAACTAATCACTTTCAGGAGAAATGCTTGTTGACTGTCCACGAATGCATATGATTTCTGATCTACTAAAGGCTTTTGTTTGGTATGTATTCTGCAGTCATTAGATGTTTACTTGGGACTGCCGCTTTGGCCAAGAGCATTCCCAGGGGCGGCATACTCAATACCAATAAATGGCGTTTGAATCAAACATTTCAC